CACATTCTTGCATTAAATGCTCAGTTGAAGGTAAATTGTATAATAATCGAAATTCTCTATCACGCTTTTGCTCTTCAAGACCTTTTTTTAGGGATGGAACCATTGGCGACAAAGGAGGATCAGATAATGAAGGGGTATCCAATTTTTGATTGTCAGTAGCATTATCGACATCATATATGGACGTTGTTGGCGACAATTCTACGGCAGCATTTTTTAATAATCGTTGCATTGACAGACCCGCCAATTGCACTAATAAACCGTAGGTCTATAAACAATAATTTACAATAATTACAATAGTTTACAATAGTTTAGTAATAATATTTTCAAATAGTAATTATTAGAGAACTTTTAATAATAATTATTTATAATAATAGAAAACAGATATGTCAACTTACTTCGTCTCGATGAAAAAGATTTGAGAAAAAATACTAAAAGAAAAATAAAATTATTAAGCCATACATTATTTAGAATAGAATATCATCATGTTGAATATATATATATATATAACTAACCTCATTACCATCCTTTGTAATTACTTTAATCGAGTCAGAAACCATTCCACGCTTAGATTTTTCTTTAACCAAATTTTCAATGTTTTTTAATTCTATAAGCAATTTTGTCTCGATGCCAAGTATCAAAGAATGAAAACCCAAATAGTTTTCACTTATATACATCCACCCTTGTTGGATACCACGGTATGCACACGAATAGACTTTAATGATTAGAATAAATTAGTAAAATAAATAATAAAATAATGAAAATAAATAACGAAAAAATAATAAAATAAAAAAGAAAATAATATAAAAAAAACACATACAATTTACTAGTCTTTCAGTAGGAGCTATATCAAAATTTTGACGAAAGGTTCTTGATGCATTTCGAATATTTTGATCCTCAGAAACTTCATCAGTTCCCTTATCTATGAAACAATTATTCTTAATTTAAAAAATCATAATTCAAATAATAAAATAATAAGAATGGAAAATTTGAATATACCTTGTCGTGTAACCAAAGAATTTATTTTCGTTACAACATAATTTTCTTTTTCAGCAGCAGTGTCAAGTCTTGACAAACCATCATTTAGACTGTCTAAAAATTATGTAAAAAGAAAAAATAAATATAATTATAAAGGAAAGAAAAAAAGAATAAAAAGTTTCAGAATAAAATAAGAATTACATTCGATCCATTTCCAAGCATCTTCGATCCCTTTTTGAGACTGAGAAACAGCGATTTGTAAAGAAGGGGCATTTACCTCCGATCGAAAAAGTATTCGAAAGGGAGGAGCCTTCGTATCAAGACTGAGAAGTGATGAAAGGAAAATAAGCATAATGTAGTAGGATTTTAGAAAACTGAAGGAAGAATACTAACACATTTTGTATGGTACCGATAACACCTCGAAGGATTGCACTGCTCGGTGACCTTGTTCTTTGAAGTATAAAATGTTTAGAAGATTTGATAACATCCCAGAAGGGGTTATTTAATTCACAAGTAATGGGTAGTGTAAATACCCCACGTGGAGGATCAATATGAGAATTATTCATTTCTAATGGAAAAGATAAATGATTTCATTTTAAAATTTCAAACGAGAAAATCGTGTATATCGATATTCTTGTTACGTATACTACAACACGAGTTTGTACCTGTTTAATTAATTACTATTTTTAGAATGATTATGCAAGTAATTTCTTAGTATTTTCATATGGAAAATAAGGGAATTGTCAAATTAACAGCGCGCCAAACACTTTGAATTAGCGTTACGTACGTAGGAATTTTAAAATTTATGCCAATTAAATGGAACATAAGTCAAATTTAAATGGCAAAGTTCAATAAAGTAATTTCGTTATTTATCGCACATAATACAGTAATATTATTTTGAATGCTCATTAGTTTTCTACTTTCATTTCAAAACTTCGAAAAATAATCTAAAAATGAAAGCATGATGGATTGTTCAATATGTAATCGTTATCTGGATAAAGTTTTAAATATTGATGCTTTATCATTATTAAAATTTGGATTTTTTGTATAAATAACTTAAAACGGATAAGCAAGCTTTGCTTACTCAAAAAAAGGTAAAACTAAAACTAAATTGCGATTCATATAAAGTTAGATGCAACTTTTAAAATTCCGATGGTCAAGTTTATCTCTACAAAATGCAATTTTTACAATAAGACTCAAAATTGTGCAACTAAACAAAAAAAAAACGGAAGTAACGGTTGTCATTATGGTAATAAATCTCCTTTCGTTGTTCCATTCGTTGTCCATTCGTTGTTCCTTTCGTTGTAGTTGCATATTTACAAATCATCAAACGGACGGACGTACGTACGCATGCAACATAACCGTATATATTTTTGAATAGACGAAATTTTATGATCAGTAAAAGCCAGAATACAGTAAGACCTCTCTAAGTGCACGCACTATGTAAATTCTCTCTAAATGCACGGTATAACTTGGCCCCAACTTATAAGAGCATTATATATTT